AGAGAAAACAAATAAGATAATAATTTAAATTGAAACATGAATGAATACATTTAATGCATGCGGCCTAAGTCAACTGTTCTCTCAAACTGACAGGAGCAATTGTTACAGGGTTTGAGAAAGCAAGATCAAAATATATTCTGCCTCCAAGATGCTAACTTTCAAAGTAATGACACAAATAGGTTAAATGTAATGGGAATGAAAAAATACCATGTTGAAACTAAATATCAGTAGCTAGAGCGGCTGTATTAACATTAGATAAAGTAGATATCAGAGCCAAGAATGCTACTAATAATAGAGGAATTTATTTCCTCACGAGAAGGGAGTCAATTCATCAAGAAAAATGACAATTCTAAATGTTTATGCACCTAATAAAAGAGCTCAAAATATATGAATCAAAAACTCATCTAACTATAAAGATCAACAGATCTGCATTTATAGTCAGACTTCGGTGTTCTTCTTTCAATAATTGATAAATTAACTAGACAGTAAATGCATGAGGATGGGAAGTCACAGGCAACCCTAGCAACACTTTATCCCGACTGACATTTGTTCATGTAACTATACGTCACTTCCCAAGACAAAATGAGCACCTGGTTTAAGCCCACAGGGAACTTTAAGCGAGACAGATCAATGCCCAAGACCATAGAATAGAGGTTGATCAACTTTAAAAGACTCAAGCTCTGCATATCACAGGCTTTGATCCCTCAGCATTGAAATGGGAAATGTTTATGTATCATTTTGAAAATGCCCAGATAGTTGGATGTTAAATGACATGATTCTCAGTAGTGATTGTGTGAAAGTGTTGGAAATCGAAAGGAAAATAGAGGGCATTCTGAAGTGAATGAGAACAAACATGGAAGAGTCAGGGTTTGTGGGAAACTTCCAAAGCATTGTTTGGAGGAAACGTTATAGCATGAAGCATTGCTAGAAAAATAAATCAGTTTGGATAGAGGAACTGATCAGTCAACAAATATCAAAAGAGGGATCTTCACTGTATTTTGTGAAACTAGAAAATGTAGAGGAAATAAATCCCCAAATAAACAGGACAAAACTTGACAGTTTCTTAAGTTGTTTTATATACTACCTGATATGAAAATTCCAATTAGAATCATTTGTGAAAACAAATTATTTTCTTACATAGGCATTCATAGAATCTCCATTTGTAAAAATAAGAAAAGTCAGAAATCTGAGTATATGTGAACAAATCACAAAATAAGTTGTGCTATATCCATGAATTCCATTATATGTATATTGGAATAGTTCTCAGCCCCTCACAAAAAGAAAATTAAAGTAAGGAATATATGTTGAATTTCAAAATGACTATGCTGAGGGGTAGGTAGGAGTCAGAAAATCTGCCAAAATATCATTGTGTGTATGCTGTGTTATTCCATTTGAAATACAGCAAACACTTAGTAGCAGTTAAGTTGTAGGCGAAATGATGAAGGGATAAGTGGATCTGGGAGGGACAAGAATACAAAGGGACCTGAGGAGCTGGCTGAGACTATCAATCTGTTCTTTGTCTGGACCTGTTCAGTGGGTTTGCAAGTACATAGGAAGCCACAGTTCAATCAAACTGTGAGCTTTGTCTATGGAGAGTTTTACGTACATAAACTAAACCTCAAAATGACAGTTTTAAATGTTATATACCTAGAAAACCAAGAGCATAGTCTTATGACTCAGAGTAAACAGAGACTCTGAAACCTGACTTTGTAAAAGAAATCCAGTACAAATCAAAGCCAGGAAGGGAAACAAAGTGGAAATGTTGGAAAGGGGAAAGATTAAGTTGTGCCCACCTCTGCCCAATATGCTGAGTTCATTTAGCATTGCTTTTATGTATGTGTTCAGGACTGAGCACATAGTATAGGATAACATCTTCATTGAAGGCTCAGAGACCATCAAGGAGGAAGAGGTAGAAAGATTGTAAGAGCCATAAGACCAAGAAACCTGATGTAAGACAGTATCTTCTATATATGACAGCAAAGGTGCATCTAGAGAGTCTCAATACAGTGGTCAAATAAGACCTGGAAAAAGACAGCATCAACTGATTGCTAGGCTAACATGATTGGGGTAATTTCCCAAGGCCCTGAGATGAAGAACTCTAGGTAATTAATGACTGCTAGGAAAGGTAGGCTCATTCTGCTTAAGCCCCTGGAAAGAAAAATTTCTTAAATGATCCTAATTTGTGACATGTTGTGAGTTTCATGTCATTTTTGATGTTTGATCACTGACTGTTTTTCATCCCAAAGCCTCTGCTTCCTTTATCTCCACATCAGGCAAGAAGATAAGAAAGCCTCACTCTGCCCTTCCTTTGCATCAGAGAGAAGCCATGCCATGCAGTCCTGGCTGTGGGCAGGAACACTCATCCTGACCTCTAATCTCTAACCACTATGAACACCACAGGCCAATCCTCTTGACCTACCTTCTGTGGATACAAACACAGCTTCTCCCTCAAAAGGGATAAGAGCCAGTTTATTCAGGAGCCAAAGATGGCTGAATATGGCCCAGGAAAAGGATTTTGATAACCTCAAATTCCATGTTCCAACTTGGCAACAGTTTGATGATGTTTTCCTAGCAGAGGAACAAAGAAAGTCATAAACCAAAGCACTTTTCAAATACATTAGTGGAGAGATTGGACAGGTGGGTTGATGCACAGCAGAGTGGGCTCTACTGTAGCCTCAGATTTTGCTTTTAGGTCATTGGAAACTAGAATCTCCCGAATTAACACATTTTTACAAAGTTTCATCTGATAGTCACAAGGATTTTAGGTCTAAAATAGAGGTGAGAAAGAAATGGCTAATATGGGGGCTAAAGATAGTTTGGCATAAATTTTAATCAGGCTCTGGACTTGCAAAGCTCCAGCCTCTCCATAATTTTTGAAGATCTCAGCAGTTAATCAGCCTTCCAGAAAGTTCTGTGGAAGGCTCAGCCCTTTTTCTGGAAGTTTGTCCATACCTCTCATGCCATTGGAGATCTGTTCTGGAAGTTGGCTAACTCTCCCTAGAATTTCCATCAAGACAGTTACAAATTATTCATGCCCCTCTGATCCTCTGATGTGTCTGTGACATTGTCAGGTCTACCATGTTTTCTGTTTTCAGCAAAGAAAAAGGAGGGAAGCATCCTATTCTGTGGGTGACTAAACCACAACATTACAAATTGTATACTAACCAGGTAAAATAGGGCAGTCATGGCAGCATTTAGGAGTTAGCACCAAGAAAATTAGAAACAAAGTCACCCTCCACTGTCTAGGGAATTCAAGGTCACGTTAGGTTACATGAGATTACCTTTCAGAAAAAAAACAAAACAACAACAAAAACCTGACAAGAATATGTCGACTTTGACGCTTATTAAACTCCAAGAAAAGTTAACAGAGAAAGGGAAGGAGGGAGAGGCGGAGGGAGAAGAAAAGGAGAAAAGAAGGGGAGAGGAGGAGAGCAAAAGTGGAGGGAGGGAGAAGGGGAGGGTGAGAGAGACAGATAGAGGTAGAAGCATGTTCTTAAGAGTATCAGTTAACACACTCACATGAGACTTAAGGACTAAATCTCAAAGGCAATGGCAAAAAATTGGACCCTGAGGGTTTTGCATCTGAGTTCATCAAGGGTATAGGTCTTTACTCCTGGTGTTAGGTATTTTTACCTGGTTCTGGTATTAGAGTAGTGCTGGATTTGTGGAACAAGTTGTAGTTATGTGTTCCCTGTGGTTTTATTTTTATTTTTGAATAAATTAAGACATACTAATTGTAGCTCTTTGAAAGTCTGATAGAATTCTGCTGGGAATCTATCTGTGCATTAGTTTTATTTGTTGGGTTTGTTTTTGTAGGAAGGTTATATAATAATAATAATGGTTATTATTATTTTAATCTCCTCCTTTGTTATGAATCTGATAGGTTTTTGATCTCTTCTTAGTTAATTTTGGTGGTTGGATAAATCTTGGAATTTACCCATTTCTTTTACATCTTTCCCTTAAGATACTGTGCAGCTCAGTCTGCCCTCAAACTCCACATTTAGCTTCGGCTGGCTTTGAACTCTTGATTCTTCTGATTTTGCATCAAATAATTAGGTTATAAGAATGGATTTAATGCCTAGCAGATATATTCAACTTAATTTTAAGCATATTTCATGCTCCCCTCTTTTATTACTCCCTTTCAATTGCAAAATTAATTTGCTGATAGGGACACAAGAAGTGGAGTCTTAAACTGATTATGAAGAAGGCGGTCCATCCTTAATGACCTTGAACCCTGTTCATTTTTTACTACCTACCTAATGCATTAAGGAAAAACTCTTCAATCTACCCCTCCACTATATAATAAAGTTGGATGATGACTCTAAATATACAAATTATGACTAAAGATATGTTATAGAAAACCCGCAAGAATATACATATGAATTAAAATTTTCTCTCTCTTAGCCTGGCAGTGGTGGCTCACGACTTTAATCCCAACACTTAGGAGGCAGAGGCAGGCAGATCTCTGTGAGTTTGAGGCCAGTCTGGTCTTGTAGAGTTAATTCCAGGACATGATCCAAAACTACAGAAAAACCCTGTCTCAAAAAAACAAAAGAAAAAATCTCTCTCTCTCTCTCTCTCTCTCTCTCTCTCTCTCTCTCTCTCTCACACACACACACACACACACACACACACACACATTCTATCTCAGTGGGCTAATCAGTTTATTGTGAGAATTAAATACATTCTTATGAGGTCACTAAGAGGAATAATCCAAAGTGAATAATAATAAACTAGATTTCACTGGAAGTTTCAACAAATCTGCTCACCAAAAAGACTGTTTGGAAAACAAAACCCCATCTGAGAGAAAAGCAAACAGTGCATTTCTTAGTAATCCATTCACCCAAATAAACAGAACAACAAAGCAACTAAAAGCAGGAATTAAAAACATTTTACCAGAATGACAATGAAAGCATATTAAAATTGGTAGGCTTCGAAGAAAGTTAAAAAAAAAAAAAAAAAAAAAAAAAAAAAAAAACAGAAAATTAAAGGACTCTCACCTGGAAGTCTGGTTTGCATTTCTGGCTGGCTGTTTGATAGTGTCACTGAAAGAAGGCTGGCACCTGCCATGGAGATTGCCACAGCAACACAAGAGTGTTGCAAGAGGAAGCTGGACAAGTCTTTCTACTCCCTCAAGCCATCCCCAGTCACTTTCTTTGTTAGCAAGGCTATGCTGCCTAAAGGTTGCTTAACCCTTTTCCCAAACAACCTTACTAACTGGGGGCCAAGTTTTCAAATACATCACTTTATGGGGGCCATTTTTCATTTGAATCAACATGGGAGAGAAGGGTCAATAATACTAAACTCAAAGGTCACGTTGTTTGGGCTTTAAACATGGTGTGCTTCCTATGGGTGGACGGAAATGCGATCAGTCAGTTTCCGGTTCCTGCGGCCTACCTGTGCCTTCCCACACCATTATGAACTCTCTAAAACCTCCAGAAATGCCAGCTAAAATAAACCCTCTCTTCCTTCAGTCTCTTTTGGTCACGGTACCTCATCATAGCAACAGCAAAATAACATCTCTCACCCCCCAAAGTCTGAACAATGCATGCCCCATATGCCACTTCTCACCAACTGAAGGGAATTCTTTAAGAAAAGAAAAATAAACTTTCCCATTAGTTCTAACTTAATTTTCAAAACGTGTTTAGTCTCAACTTGTGGTCATTACATTCTTCGAGCCATGCGACTTGAAAATCCACGAACCTTTTTAGACTGACGTAGAGAATAAGATCTGACGAGTCCAACAATGGTTGTCTTCTCCCTGGAGTGGCTGAAAATCTAGTATATAAGGCTGGGTACCCCAGCAATCCCAATCTGATGCAGGAGACTGAGGATTCATGAAGAACTAATCATCTTCATCCCACATTGGGAGACAAAAGCTGGGTTTCAGTGTCAATAAATGATGATATTAACAGTAGCAACACAAGGTAGATTGCAGAGTTGAAGAAAACAGCATAGCCAACAGCTTTTCTCTAGGACCAGTTTGTCCTCTATCTATCTATCTATCTATCTATCTATCTATCTATCTATCTATCTATCTATCTACCTCTCATCACCTCCTGGTGTATACTAATTTACGTTTCCTTTTTAAAATAATTTATTATTTTTATTTTATGGGCACTGGTGTTTTGCCTGCATATATGTCTGAGTGTGTCTAATCCTGGAGTTACAGTTATGAACCTGCGTCCTCTGGAAAAGCAGCCCGTGGTTTTAACTACACCCCCAACCCCAATTTACCTTTCTCAAAAATCTTTTCTTAATTTTGACATTCTTTTATACAGTAGAAGTCAAAATCCTGCAGTAGCACCTTGAATCCTGAATGAAGTACCTTGAGAGAATGCCTCAGGCTAGAGCCTCAGAATTAGGCCAGGTTGTGGTGCCTTTGCTGTCAGAAAAAGGACACAGTTAAGTCATTACTGAGGGAGACATCCATTTTATTATTATTTATTCAATTTTGCTTTGTTTCTTTATTTTAGATAAGGGCTTGTTATGTATTCTAGACTGCCCTGGATCCTCTTCTCTCATCTTCCCAAGCAAGCAGATTACAGGTATGCACAGCTATGCCTGGCAAAGGGTAAATTTATCACTTTAGTGACCAATATTAAGAAAGAAAAAAGGTTCCAAGTAATCGACCTGAACTTTGATCTTATGAAACTAGAAAAATAAGAGAAAAATAAACCCAAAGTAAAAAGAAACAAGAAAATAATAAAGATCGCACTGGAAATCAATGAAATGGAATACATAAAAACAAAAGAAAAGTATTATTGAACTAGACAGTTCTTCCTTGGAGAATATAAACAAAATGGACAAAGTATTACCTAAACTTCCAAAATAAAGTAGAGAAGACAAACTCTCAAAATCAAAGCTGAAAAAACAAATATCACTACTGGTCATTTTAGAATCAAAGCTTCTTTGTTTTGTTTGTTTGTTTGTTTTTTATTTTTTATTTTTTTTTTGAAAAATTACCGCCTCCTCCCCGTTTCCCTCCCCCTTCTCCCAAACATCTCCCACTCCCCCCACTCCCCTACCCCTCTCCCCGTCCTCCCCACTCCATTCCCCCTCCCTCTCGAGAATGATGAACCTTCATCTGGCGATGGATCGAGATAGAGACAGAGACCCAAATTGGAGCACCGGACTAAGTTCTTAAGACCCGAATGAGGAGCAGAAGGAGGGAGAACATGAGCAAGGAAGTCAGGTCCACAAGGGGTGCACCCACCCGCTGTGACAGTGGATCTGATCTATTAGGAGCTCACCAAGGCCAGCGGGACTGGGACTGAATAAGCATGGGATGAAACCGGACTCCCTGAACGTGGCGGACAGTGAAGGCTGATGAGAAGCCAAGGACAATGGCATTAGGTTTCAATCCTAATTCATGAACTGGCTTTGTGGGAGCCTAGCCTGTTTAGATGCTCACCTTCCTGGTCCTGGATAGAAGTGGGAGGACCTTGGACTTCCCGCAGGGCAGGGAACCTGGACTGCTCATCATTTGTTTTGTTTTTTTTTTTTTTTTTTTTTTTTTTTTTTTTTTCGAGACAGGGTTTCTCTGTAGCTTTGGAGCCTGAGCCTGTCCTGGAACTAGCTCTTGTAGAACAGGTTGGCCTCAAACTCACAGAGATACTTCTGCCTCTGCCTCTGCCTCCCGAGTGCTGGGATTAAAGGCATGCACCACCACCACTCTGCATTTATATCCTCAAATTAGGGAAATGTGAATTATTGGGGACAAATTATCCAAAAGTAGAAGGGAAAATAGACACTATGAACGGATATGTAGCAAGTATCTAAGTTATATTTATATATATTCTTTGCCCCTACTCTGCAGTATTCTGTGAACATTATGGCTATGATACAAATGTTTTGTATACAGAATGAACATTCCATCATTCTTGGCTCTCAATATCTTGTGCAGTCATGCATGCTTGTTTCACTTTGTGTATGGGAAAAAAAAAGCTTCTCTGATTAAGTCTGAGAGTATCCTCTGTCTGTGGGTATAAGAAAATGTATTTAGCAAGTAGTTTGATGCTTTCTGTGTTAATTTAGATAAGTAGTGGTAAGAACTTCCTTTCTAGGGTTTAAGATCCCCTCAGCCATAGGCTGTGAATACAGTTTACAGTACTAGGAATGAATTTTCTCTCAAATACAACCAGGAAGCAGTTGGCGAGGCCATAACAGTTGTGACACTATTATAACAATTGGCACATTTCACCTGGTAGGTTCATATTACAGATCTTAGGTTTCATAACTGAGTGAAATATCAATTCCTACTCCCCCAAAACTCTGCATAGCGCCATCTGATTTTATAAAACCTAGGCAGCAGGAAAGAACCTTCTTGCTCCCATTTTCTCCCATTTGGGGTGTTACTTCTTTTCATTAACAAGACACTTTGATGCACAAAAGCTTTTTAGTTTGATGAGATCTTACTTGTGGATTGTTGGTCTTATTTCACCTGCAATCAAACTCTTATTGAGGAAATCTTCATCTATACTTATATGGAGGCATATTCCTTACATTTTCTTATAGCATTTTTATGGTATCTTATAGCATTTTTATAGTCTTATATTGAAGTCTGTGATCCACTTGGTGTCAAATTTTATTCAGAATTTGATATATGAATCTAATATTCTTTTACATTCCAATGTCCTGTTTCTCAAATACCATTTGTTGAAGATGCTGTCTTTTCTCTGGCTTAGATTTTGGCTTCATTGTAAAAAATCAGGTAGCTATAATTGCATGGACTTATATATGAATCTTCTATCCTATTCCCTTGATCTACATAGCTAATAAAAGATCATGAATACAAAAAAGAATTTGGAAGAAAGGAGTGGAGTTGGTAGAAATGGGAGAAAAAATAAGAGAAGACAGGAAGAAAAGCAACCATAATATAATACATATATATGTATGAAATTGTCAGCAAATAAAAATAAAAGTTATCACATAATAGGTTATGAAAACCTGACCAAGCAACATAAGGAGCAAACAGTCAATTCTGTCTCAAAGTTTGAGAGTCCCATCCATCATGGCAGAAAATGCTTGGAAGTAAAAGTGATAGGCATCTGGTCATACAGCATCCACTGTCGGTCAATAAGAAGTGAAGGCTGGTTCTCAGTTCGACCTTCGTCTTTTTGTTCAGACCAGCACCGCAGACCATGGAATGAACTCAACTACATTTAATGTTCATCTTCCCATTTCAATGAACTCAATCTAGAAACTCCCCCATAGACATGCAGAAAGGTTTGTTTCTGCAATGGTTCTAAGTATTGTCAAGGTGACAATAAATATTCACCATAACAGATGGAATGTTCTTATTCATAAACAATATCTGTGAAAATGTACAGATAGCTCATACTTAATTCTAAAAGATTAAATGTTGTTTCCTTAAGAGTCATATCAAAGCACAGATGCTCTGCTCTTGCCACTTCCCCTTGGTCTTACATGGGAAGTTACAGGCCATCTATTACACTGTACTAGACCACATTTAGATGGAAAGAAGCAAGACTGTATTTGAGTGAATGATATAGGGATAACTAATAGACATACACAAGCATATATGCAATCATTATAATTAATAACAGGGATCAAGAAGGTCATTGGATTTAAAAATCAATGCACAAAAAATCAAGTGTATCTATGAATAAAAGCAACGAACAACCTGAATTTGAAGTTAAAGAAATCTTATGTACATTATGTTAATATACATTAGAAAATTTGATAAATTCCTATACACAGAACACTAAATGCATTGCCCAAAATCTGCAGACAGATATTAATAAATTGAATCATTCATAGTAGTAGGTTGTGTGGTGGTTTGTATGAGAGTGGTCCCCATAAGTTCATAAATTGAATAACTAATACCCAGTTGATCAACTTCTTGAGAAGAATTGGGAGATGTGGGTTTGTGGGTAGAAGTCTGACACTGGGAGTGGACTTTGAGTTTTCAAAAACAGGCCATTTTCAGCTGTCCCTGTTGCCATGCCTTTTCTCTGTCGACGTGGACTTCAGCCATCTGAAATCACAATTTCAATTAAAT